TATATATATATATATATATATGTATATATATACATATATATATATATGTATATATATATGGGTGTGTGTATGTGTGAGTGTGTATATTTTTCTTGAATGTTTTCTTGCAAATTGCTGCTCCCTGGTTGCAAACACTCATATTTCAATGAGCCCTATAGCAGATAATTGATTGATTTTCTTTAATATCCTGATGCATGCTCAATAATGATCAATTTTCTTTAAATTAATTGTAATGATGCCAACAGTTGCATCTGGGAAAATTAATGTTTTAATGTTCAGCATGTGATCATGAGAAAAACATGATACATTTACAAGACTTTTCTCTTAGAGTGAGCTTAAAGTGCATGCAAAAAATAATTAACCACACAGAAAACTCGAACAAAGTTACCAGTAAGTCAGGTCCTTTGGACGTTTTTATTGTTCTTTTGTTAATGAAATGTTTCATCTTTCATCCAAAGGACTTTGTCAGTCAATCTGATGAAGTCTTTTGGACTTTGTTAGTTTTTTTTCTACCTGGATTATTGAGCATGAATCAGGACACACAGAAAACTGTTATGTAATATTTACCTTTATATTTTTGAACATTAAAAATATTAATTTTCACATTTATTTCAATAAAGATAATTTATTTATAGGTGCTTTAGGCAATTGTGTAATTAGTAACTATCTGATTAAGTGACTTGTTTTATATGTGAATGCCAAAATGTTACGCTGCTGAACTTAAGAAAACTATTTATTTTAACATCCTGATGCATGCTCAATAATCCAGGTAGAAAAATCTAAAAAAGTTCAATCTGGTCCTCTGGACATTCAAAAAAACAAAACAAAGCAAAATAAATAAATAAATAAATAAATAAATAAATGTAGAAATGTTTCGTTTTTCATCCAAGAGACTTCCTCAGTCTGAGGTGCTGTATTCAGCTCAGTCTCTTAAATAGCACCTTCTCAGAGTGGATCAACCAGTTTTGCTGCTGACAACCAAAACCAGCTGATCACATGCTCAAGAAGGACCATCAGCCTAACAATGGATCATTAGCACACTGATGGCTGTTTACTATTCACAGGAGGCTGAGTTATATTTCTTTTAAGTTTCGTTTTTGTTTTTGAATATAAATTTGAATGTGTCAAGTACATAATGCTAATTTGTGATTTAAACTGCAACTCAAGCTGTCAGAGCTACAATAATAATTGCAATCATACTCAGACTTCACAATCTTTGGTTTGTAAGTGGCATGAAAAAAAAATGCATTTCAGTAAATCAAAGGTCCTTCATATTTGTACTTTAGTACCGGAGCTGACCAAGTATGTTTGAATCTGTTCAACCACTGTTCACCAGAAGATAATCTATCTGGCTGATAAAATAATATTTAATAGGTTCTCTCGACTTCTTGTGCTAATCCTATATACAAGATAAACCTGAAATTTATCTGCAGTCTGAAAAATTTTCAAGTAATGTGAGCTGCAGATGTTCATCATTTTAAACTTTTTAATCCATTTATCAATTTCTACTTAACAGGAAAGTTTGTCACGGGGGGTTCCATTCTCAGTCCATCCGCGATAAGTGAAAAATTGCAAAGTAGCAGTAGTAGTACAAGTAGTAATTTTTAGTTTATTTAAGTATATATATATATATATATATATATATATATATATATATATATATATAAACACACAGTGGCCCCTTGTTTATCACGGGTGTTAGGAACCACGCCCACCCGCTATTAGTGAAAAACCGTGAAGTAGGGATACAGCAGTCGAAGTTCAAGTTCAGTTCAAGTTCAGTAAACTTTGTCATGACATGTGCCAGGCTGTAATCACACTCATCACATGTTACTCCCAATCTCCCTCCTTAAAGAAACAGTTTTAAATTTAAATGCTGTAACATTTTAAATAAACAAAGGGTCAACACTTCACAAAGTCGATGAAGCAGGAGAAATGTTGAGAAATAAAATCAGCTGATCAGCTGCAGGAGGGAGCTTTCTACTGCACTTGTGGGCTGCACACAGGTGCAGCAGGTGCTAAATAATTTTAAATAATTTATTTTGCATTTAAAAAATGCATGCCGATTGTGCAACTCATCCTTCAATCAGGCAATTGTGTGTCATGTCCAATCTTACTTTGAAAAACAGCGAAAGAGCGAGTCCACGAAAGTCGAACTGCGACGTGACGAGGGACTACTTTATAAATAAACAAACATGCTTTAATTTTTTGAAAATATGTCCTAGATGTTAAAAACCCAGCTGGTTCAGCATCCGAACCCTCACAAACAAGCT